GACGCGAGTATAGACTTTTAGTAAACTATAATCATTAAATGGAGTTGAGCGAAATTTTGGAAAAGCCGTATACAAGATTTATGGAATCGTAAATTGAAAGAGAGATATGTGGATAAATACAGAGAGAATAAGAAAAGGGAAGGTATTAGAAAGTTAAACAAAATAAGATTGCTTGCATAGGTGCATACTTTAATGCGTACTAAGAATTTTCGTAGAATTCCAATAGTCCACAAGTTTCGTTCTATTAGTTTTCTCTGCCCTTGTTAATTTTTATAATTAACCGCACTATTATTATCTTACAAATTCACATACTTCGTGCTGCTCGTTATCGCACTCAACTAATATCTTTCTCCAATTTGCTACTTATATCGTTAATTTAATTAACAGCATGTTTACATACGTATTTATTTCAGCTAAATTTGATTAAAAAATATATTTTTACATTACTTAATATATAATTATAGGATACAGTTTTATATAAATCTCTATTATTTTTGTATTAAGATGTACTATTTCATAAATCTATTCACTATCGTTTAATTAAGGAAAACCTCTCATGTTTCAACGTAAAATTTTAACTGTTTGCGTTACTCACTAATCACTCGTTAATCACTCAATGTAATGACAATTATCCACCACTATTTACATACTTAATAATTCCATTCCCTCATTTCCAATGATTTTACGCACAGTATAATTGTCAAAATGTCGAAGGATTTTCATTCGCAGTTTTTTTTTATGTGATAATAGAGCTTATTTTGCAGTTTCTTCCACTTTTTTTTTTTTTTTTTTTTTTTTTTTTTTTAATTAACTGTCTAATATAAAAATCTGTAGTTTGCTAATTATTTTGAATATTGTTCACATAAATGTATGTATATTATAAAGACGCTATTAGTTTTAAGTTGATATGTCAGTAAGGTAAAAAAAAAATATAAATAAAATTATTAAATTTGCTTGCAGTTGAGTCACAATGAACAATAGCAGTTTGCACAATTCTATCGCAGCCGGCACCTCTAACAATTCTCTGTACAATTTTTACAACAAAGTATTTTGGGAATTTTCTGGTAAGCAATTTTTCTGGTATACAATTTTACACTCTGTATTTATCTGAGATGATTTTTACTTTTTTTTTTTTATTTTAAAACATCATTTAAAATGAAATGAAATTTATAAATTCTATCGATACAATTCATAGGAGAGAGGCAATTATTAAATTTATATTCTTGTTTTGCGTATAAAGTTAATAGAAAAAAATTCTTGCCTTCGGATATACATTTCAATTTCGATATTTATTACATTGCGTATAATTCTATTGATTAAATAAATGTTTTATGAAATTATTGTTTAAATTTTATATGGTTTATAGTCATTTGTTCGCTTTGATATTGGAATGTAATATTCTTTTAAAAATTTCACCTCACATTTTATACTATTAAAAAAATTTCTGAATAATAATTTGTGAAATGTAATAAATAAATATTAAATGAATTATACCGTTATGTATAATTTTACAATATATGTGAAATTTCAATGTTTCTTAATTTCAATAATTCCTTAAGCAATTAAATAAGTACATTATGTGAATATAATTACAATAATTGTATTTATTGGCGAGTGATTAATTAAATTAAATTAAATTAAACGTAAATAGAAGCTCCAAAAATATAGACTTGTAGTTAAAATAATGACACTCAAACTCAAAAATACGCAAACAAAAAAAATTTTATTCATAGATACTAGAACGAGAGATTGGTTCCTACTGTCCTCGCCAATCCCTGGTATCGGTATATTGGCTGCCTACTTATACTTCGTATTATCATGGGGACCACGACTTATGGCACACCGTAAGCCATTTGTGTTGAAGAACGCTTTAATCGTCTACAATTTTCTCCAAGTTGTCCTTAGTACTTGGCTTTTTTACGAGGGTCTCGACGGCGCTTGGCTCAGATATTACAGTTGGAAGTGCGAACCTGTTGATTTTTCAAATACACCCCAAGCACTCAGGGTATAATTAATTTTCTTTTTTATATAGCCCGTCATTTCTAATGATAGCGCAATCTAAACTGTTTAATTATTTGCATTTTAATTTTGACTAACCGCTGGATGGGGGCGTTTATTCATCATTCATAATGATTTATTCATAATGAATTATATCGATTGTTGGGTGCTCGAGACAATAAGTAAGCGCGTCATTAATTATTAGAGTCGATCTATCAAACATTTTTCCATTATTACAACAAATTTTAAGCTTAATAATTATTTACGAAACGTAAAAATTGAAAAATACTTTATCAATCGAATGAAATTTAAGTTATTGTATTTTATCATAAATCATTAAAACTGGCAATATACATTAAACTTTTGAGATGAATAGAATAAATTGTTCATTCACTTGGCAATTATACAATATATGTACATCTTCGTCAATATCTTTCGTCTCATAAAACATAAAATATAAAAAAAATAATTTGTCGTGATATTAACTGATCATCAACCGCGCAGCAATTAATTATTGTACCTTACACTTAAAAAATATAACCATTACTAATAATATATTTAACAATATCTAATTGCAGATCGCAAGAGGTGTTTACGTTTACTTTTTGGCAAAACTTACAGAACTTTTGGACACAGTCTTTTTCGTATTACGTAAAAAAAATACACAGATTTCTTTCCTTCATATGTACCATCATACTGTAATGCCAATGGCCTCATGGGGTGCAGCAAAATATTATCCCGGTGGTCATGGGACATTTATAGGTAAACTATTAATCTATCTAATGTATTAATCTATGGCCACTCAATAGGTTATTCATAAGAATAGCCATTTTAATAATATTTCCGCCGTCACCTCGTTATTGTCATATGGTCAATACTAATTAACGGTTATATTACTATGCCCAGTAATTATTAAATCAAATTATAATAACTCATTTAATTAAATAGAAATTTATAAGCATATGATTAAATATGAAAATGAATTGTTCTTTCAAAATTGCTTCGCATCTTTGTTCGTTTTAAAGTACCCAAAGAAATTTTTAAAATTATGAAACAAGTATATATCTATATCTGTATATATATATATATATATATATATATGTATATATATATATATATCTACATATGTATGCATAATTTTTTTTTTCAGGTGTCATTAATAGCTTTGTTCATATTATTATGTATACGTATTACATGCTGACCGCTATTGGACCGCAGTTCCAAAAGTATCTCTGGTGGAAAAAGTACATTACGACGTTACAAATGGTAATTAATATTTGTAATATATAAAATAGCAACTATTGCAAGTTATTTACATTAATTTCTAGAGGAATAATGCAAATTTTCTTTACATAACACTTAAAATGCAACTATAATAAGAAGGAAAATAAGAATTATGGAAAAAGAATGAAATTTAATGAGAATACAAATCATTATATGTCATTAAAAATCTATATGAATTAACAATTATATAAAAATCAATATTGATATCACATTAAAATACCAAATATTGTTAAAAAAAAAAACTAATAATAAATTTCAATAAAAAAAAAAAAAATAGACGGAGAATTAGCCTTAAAATTATTTACATATATTCTTAATAAGTAAAGAAAATAATTAATATTTCATAACTAAATTAATTTAATTACAGGGTCAATTTTGTCTGGCATTTCTGCACAGCTGTCAGCTTCTCTTTTATGATTGCGAATATCCAAAATGGTCCTTAATATTCATTCTTCCAAACGCCATATTCTTTTACTTCCTATTTTATGAATTCTACAACAAAGCTTATACGTCTGATGCTAGCGCTAAGAAAAAGAAAAACGACGACGATGACGTAGATTTTAATCTGACGAATGATAAGTCATCGCATGGAAGCATCTCTAATGGGGAATTTGCGTATAATTGCACTAATTATGAGAAAACGTACAAGCAGGAAAATAGTACATCCGACGAAAAAGCAATCTCTAATAAAAGCATAAAAGAAAATGGAAAATTAAAATCAACATAATAAATAAATAAATAAATAAATATAGATACATAATGAAATAAGACACATTATTTCCTGTAAATAGAAGATATAAAGTAAATATGTACATATGACTCTTCGACAGAAAATATCTACTTTGGTTAGAAATGCTAATATCGATAGGAATACTCTTTGTACGATTCTTAACATATATTGTAAAAAATAATATCTGCCCATAGGAAGTTATCAAAAATCCAATTTCGTAATTCTAATTCCTTAAATTCAATTATATAATTTTATGTTTTAAAATTTATGAATTAAGATTTCTTACGGAGAGATAATCCAGACAATCGAAACGTATTATACATGAAACAATTGCAGGTAGTGAATACACGATTAATTATTTTGTTCAAAGTAAATAAAATATTTTCTTGAAGATGCTCTAGTACATTGTGTTTAAATCTTTTTATTTGCATAGTAATAAATTTTAGTGTAATAATTATTTTCAAAAATAATTTTACGACAATAATCAACTTAATTAAAATGCAGAAAATCATGTTTGCAATTATTGTAATAAAGTGCAACTAATGCAAGAAATATTCGATTCATTCTCTTCATATTTTTTTCTAACGTGATTTTATTCTAACGATCATTTTATTTTCTTATAATCCATTACAAGTGTATGCACCTAAATTTTTGAATCCAAGTATTCTATTGCGTGTAAAATAGGCAAACGAGCAATATTTTATTAGTTAATTATGCGTTTATCTTTATTTCCCCGGTCATACTTCAACTCCTTTGTACATTCTTTTTCTAAAATTATGTTCTAAGAGATTGAATTCAAATAAATTAGTTATAATGATAATAAACCTATTATAATGACTGCTTTAACGTACGATTGATAATGTTATAATTATTCGATGATGAAAAACATTTAATATTAAGCGACACTAAATGTATGCTTAACCATAAATACAACGATGTATCCGATCAACATAAGTGTGGCCTAAGCCATTATTCAAGCCACGGACAAGAGTTTGGAAATTCTTATTAAATCAAATAGTAGTAAGAGAATAAAACACTATACACACACACGCGCGCGCACACACACACACATATATATATATATATATATATATATATATGTATGAATCAATTCGCATTAAACATGCTCCCGCATTTGGCATCGATTAAAGTAATACAACATGTATCTGTAAGATATTGTAAAGAACAATTTTGTGTGTTAAAAATTAAAAATTTATTGAATTTCGGCTGCAAAATTATTAGAAGAATTTTGACCGTTTCTCGTGAAAAATTAATTAAACATGTAACATGTGCAACGATTAATAATTTTAAAAAAGAGATCAAATAATTGCCATCTAGTAATATTTATATAAAATTTAATAATAAATATAAAATGAACGTATGAAACTGATAATTCAGTTACCTTGGATTTTGTAAATAAATCAAGAGTTTTCTGATTTTTTTTTTAATAAACAATTGGATTTTAACAAACTATACTATATATAATTATTTCACTTTCATATTCTGTCAATATTTTACACACTTAAATTGTTATACACACTTATATAATGTTATAGCCATTTTTATATTTAATAGGCCAATGCATATTCAAAGTATTAAATTTCATATACAGAAAACAATGTAGATGTAGAAATTAGGTAATACGCATGTAGATTTCAATCAGCAAGAGCTATAATAAAATATATAAGTTTATAAGTATTTATATGCATAAACAAAATAAATAAAAAATAAATCCTAATTATTAAGAAATTAATTTGGATTACCATTGTATTTGTTCGTGAAGAAAATAATAGAAAAGATTGAAAACGAAGTTATTTCTCTTCCGAATTCGATAAAAATATTTTTATGTGTGTAAATAAAAGTTTATAATAATACGAAAACATTATTAGGAATAATTGAATTAATTTTATTTCATTAATAATTATTATTAACTATTCATTAACTATTTCTGAATTAAATTCTGATAATTTGAAACGTAAATATAACCCATTACATAGAAGACAATATAATTTTGTAAAAACTCAAATCTATTGAATATTATTATCATTATAATTCATTATTAAATAAACTTCATTATATCTGTATTTATATATGTATATACAAATATATATGTATATAACAAAATTAATTATTTTTAATGTTAAGTTAATTTAATAATGACTAAATATTGTAATTAAGTTATTTGATATATTTGAGTTTTAATAGAAATTTTGTAAATTTAAGGCCTGTAATAATATCAATTTTTTGGATAGTAAAAATGTTTATTTTTGAAACTTCTTGCTAATTTTATTTAGTAAATATTTATACTTATATAATATAAAATCTAAAATACATACGCTTAAAGTTCTAACTTAAACTGAATGTGCATGGATGCATGCATGGTTCTATGCATATGTGTGCGTATGTATGTATGTATGCTTGTGTGCATGTGTTTATGCATGTATGTATGAGTGAATATGCGCGAGTGTATATGTATGCATGCATGTGTATGCACGCATGTGTGCGTGTATGTTTGTGTGGCTATGTTTCTATCTATGCATGTATGTGCGTATGTATGCATGTGTATACGTACGTGTGTATGTATGTATGCATACATAGAAGAAAGTGATAAAGAAATTAAATTATAATACCAATCACCAAATATACAAATAGATTTTGTTTGAATTTTCAATTATGTACAAATTTTTCGTATTTTAAAATTGAATATATTACATACTACTATTACTCCTCTGAACTCTCTTAAAATTATAATATGAATTTGTAAAATTATACAACAATTTTTAAGACTTTTTTTTATTATAAAACAATAAATTATAATAAATTTATTTATTTATGGTAGGTGCTCGCCTTTGCACCATTTAAAACTATTTATTTGTCAACATGTGACAAACAAGATTGTTTATTCTTGAATGTACTTATAAAACAAACCTATTTTTCATTGATTTCATGACAAATTAGGCATCGAGCGAATATATTTCATAAACTTATTAAACGCTCCGTTAATTTAATTATTTTATCAAATTATTGAGATATAATTACTCTATATAATTAATAACAAATGAAATCAATAGCAATAGGTACCGATCAATGCCTATTTGAAATTCGCTTATTTCACATTTTCTATTTTACATTATTTAATAACAAGACATTGATACAATCTAATTTAATAATAGAAGTATTTCTTATACGTCATTTGCATCACAAGTATTATATTCAAATTATCTTCTCCATCTTTATCAAATTTTTTCATTTTTATTGAAAGTATCACTATTTTATTTTTCTTAAAAGAAGAATGAATTCATAGATCAAAGCAGCTATACATGTATATAGAATTTGAACGAATACTATGTACAAATATTAACCGATTTCGAATATGGTAAGTTATATTTAAATAAATAATAACGCACCTAATAATTAATTTTCATTAGGTATTATGAAAATCTGAATTATAAAAATATATTTATAGAAAATCCTCAACTAAAGTCATCAACTATTAACACTGAAAATTATATATTACACTTATTTTAGATTTTCTTCAATTTAGCGTAAGTTTTTCTGTAAAAATCGCTGAATAAATAAATGAAAATAATAACGTTTGTAAGGAAAAAGTATGTGAGTGCTTTTGGCATATGGCAATCTACGGTAAGTGTGAACATCAGATATACGAGCATCATTGCAAATTGTACCTGAAAATTAAAATTAAGAAAAAGTTTAGTATTATTATAAAATGTCTTATGTACTGTTACCGATCATATAATAAATTAACTTTCTCATATTATATGTTTATCTAAATATTAATTTTCTCTTTTATAGTTCTATAACACTACGATAAGTTGTTCTATTACTTCAACTTATATTTTGTTCAAGTTAATTATTAATTGATAACGAAGCTATATTTTTTCATGCTATCTAATTCAAAAACTTTAATTATTTTATTAATTTTCTTATTAATATTACTTTTCTTGAATAGGAAAAATGCTTCGTAAAATTATCAGAAATTCAATGGAAATGGCTATGCTATAAGATAATTTAAATAAAAATAATTTATATAAAGTATTTTATTATGTTATTATTAAATACTATTAAGTTAGAACAATGTATTGTTATAATATAAATTATTATAATTTATTCACGACTCAAATTATACTTTTATTAATATTAATTATGAATTGTAAAATTTTTTTATTATCTATAATTTACTATAAAATTACAATTAACTAACGAAATTTTTATATTAATAATAATACGATATTAGTGTATTTTACAATATACTTATTTCTCGTTGAAAAAGCAATCGATGGAAAAATATATACTCGTTAGAGGGAAATAATGTTCGAAAATTAATTAAATATGAAATATTGAAATGATAAATTATATCGCTCATTCTATTTGACAATTAATTCAATAGACTGAAAATCTTATTAAAGTATTGGTAAAAATATAAACCTACGATTCTTTACTCGAGAATGTAATCAAATGTACAAAATATGCGGAAAATTATTCATAGAAGGGAGTAAAAAATGATGCATTTCAATAAGATTTCGTAAAGATTATGTTCCGTTATGTTTCAAAATGTTTAGTTTTTTACCCTCATTTCATCTAGATTATTTCATCTAGAAATAAGATTCATCAAGATTGATTAGAATTATTAAAATTACGTTTTGTTATTAATCTAATTAAATATTCTAATGATATAAAATGTAAATAAAAATAATTTTTATGCTTACCATAATCATACTATAATAAATTTATATTAAATTTAATCATTAATTTTAAATGGAATAAATTACAGATTATATTTTTCAATTGCAGCTAAATATTGATTGTAAGAATCTCACATTTATGTATACATTTACGTATACATTAGCCCATAAAATTTACTTTTACCAGAAATAAGTAAGATTGCGCGTGCACTCACCAGCTGCATCCACGTCATGTATTTCTTCCACCATAAATATTTTCTATATTCGGGACCAAGGGCCGCGATTAGGTAATACGAATACATGACGATGTGAACGAAGGAATTGAGAAAGCCGATGACAATACCTTGCTCACCGGGTAGGAACTTAAGGTAGCACCAAGAAAAAAAAGCCGTTATCGTGTGATGATAGACATGGAGGAAGGAGACTTGATTGAATTTCTTACGAAGAATGAAAAATACCTATAATAAATTAAAATTCTTTAACGATTTTTTATTTTAATACGTCAATAGAATAATTTTTATAATGAAATACGATCGACTGTCGCTGTGTGCTAAACTAAACTTATTTTAAAAGTAACTGCAAATAATATATTATTTATTAAATGCTTAATATATTAATGAAAGATTAATTTATTCTTTTTTCGATCATTTCTTTTCCAATGTAATACTTTATTTAAAAAAATATTATAATAACGTAACTCGTTGTGGATTATTTGTTGAAGGATATCATAAATATTTACCATACACGCGTGAATTTATGTTACTGTTTTTAATAAAAATTGTTAGAGAAATACATATTTATACAATGGCTAATAAACCAATGAACAAATAATGATTTGTTAATATAATTTAAATTCATTAAATTGTACAATTTTTTTATTCATTGCGTATGCGCTCACACACACGCATATATATATATATATATATATATATATATATATATATATGTATACATTATATTTTTGAAATTGTAAAATTGAAATACTAGATTTATTAGAATTCAATTTATAAGATTTATTTTTAAATCCTTTTCGATTTTACTAATTTATTGTTAGTCATTTATTTCACACATTCTTGTTTAATATCAATTATAATTCAAGAATTCAGAATATATCGCCCATCATTAACAAAATATAATCATAAAATACAAAATATATAAAAATTAATCATTAAGTAGTTATGTCGAAGGCAAAGTTAAATCGTATAATAGATTTAAAATTTTAATAATTTAAGCATAAATTAATACTTACTGTATCCATGAGTTCGGTAATTTTTGAGAAAAAGTACCACCAGGCTCCTACCGATAACTATAATTAAAAGAAATTTTTTTATTAGCGTAATGATATAAGACAATGATATAAAAGCCATTAATTGTAAATTATATTAATTAATTTATAATATTTTATGATTAATTTTAGATATTTCAGCAAAACTAGGTTCCTAAATACAGTTATATTGTTCGTTAGATTGCCAATATAACTATGAGACGTGTAAAATTAGCATAATTAATATTTAAAATGAATTGATCTGAAATGAATAAATGAATAAATAAAAAGAATAAATCTTATATATGGCTTAGTTGAATGTTGAATTACTATGTATTATGCATGTAAATTTGTGATCTCACGGAAATAGTTGAAAATAAATAAATTTCATTTGGAAGTAGTCGTTTCATTGAAAATATATATATGTAGCAAAATAAGCATAATATAATGGATTTCCAACTTTTAAACCTATAAATTGAAACTTCCAAGTGCTTTTTCGATGATTCTCTTTAATTCTAATGAATCCAATAGCGAACACCTTATTTTCAACTAGATTTAAGTTACAATAGAAATTTATATTTGAATAATAGCAATTTAGATTTAAATAACAGAAGCATCAGATTCAAATAATAGAAATTCAGATTAGTACCCTTTCGATTAAAGTGTATTTCCGGTACTTTTATAACGACCTGTATTACTTAATCCTCTATTATCATTTATATTTATATTATAACCCGTTCAAGGAAATTTGACCCAATTCCAAGGAAAAGTAGATCCACGTATATTGGATGATAAATTTTAATTTAATTGCAAGCTAGTTATTCCAGAACATCCACAACTTTACGAAGTGTAAAAGATAATTTTTTTTCTACGCACTGAAACGACCGCGCGCAAAGTAAGAGGATAAAACGATAAGTTTAAGTGTCAAGAATGCCGGCTGTGCAACCATTGCTTGTGAAAGTTAAAATCTTTGCATAGGAAACTCAATTGCACGGGGGACGTTATATAGGAAATAAGCGAATTTGTAATTCCCCTCACCGTAGACTGCAGCTTGTCGTTCGTCGGGAGAGATCTTTTCGTATCACAGCTATCGGTGAATATAAGACTCATCAAGTCAACCTTAAGTGCCTGCGGATAAGAAGTGGAACATCATTAAATTCATAGGCATGTTCACGTGCATACGCGTCTACGTACACAAACGCACAAAGACCCAAACGTATACATACACACGCGCGCGCGCGCGCGCACGCACGCACACACACACACACACATATATATATATGTATATACGTGCGTGTATAAACTGTATTTGAATGTTTTATATACGAATACAATGACTGACTAAAAAGTAAATTTTTATGTAATAATCGTCCATAATACGTTGAGAAAAAATATTCGTATATTTTCTTACCAGTATGGTTAACCAAATACTGAATAATACTTGAAAACCATTGTATAATATTATAACGGTTTTCAGCTCAAAAGCTGGCCTCTTTTCCATCATTTTGGGACCGACCTTCAGGACAAAAGTCAAATATGCGCCAAGAATCAGGAGGAGCGGCTTAGGCGAGCCCATTAGTAGCCAAGAATCTACCATTGGATCTATATTGTAAAAAGATATAATATTTTTATTTTTAAATACGAGCCATTCACTTTCCTTGAAAATATTTAACATATGTGGAATAATTATTAGTAGCTATACTTTTTCATATAATTTTCAAATACTAAGCATTCAAATCTGAATGATATATTGACATTTTGTAAATACATATCGATTAGAATTTATACTAAGCGAAACGTGTGGATTTTTTGATTTTCATAATGAAAATTCTGCTTATATCTATATTTCATTTATATTTCTTTTACAGCTGCTTATATCTGTAATTTTAACTGACTGTTCAAATTAAAATCTATCATATGTATATTACTTCATTATAATTTCGATAAAAATAATTTCATATCATAGTAATATAATTAATTGCACTTTAATTAACTTAATTGTAAATTAACACTGTGCATTTATTGAAGAATTGTAGAGTTGATATTTATTTAATTTTAATTTATCTTTCTAATAATAGGATTGCTACTTGCTAATATAATAGATTGGTATTAAATTTAAATTACATACAATTAAAATTTAACGAAAATTGTAGTCAATATTCTGAGAAGAGAGACGAATGAATGATTTCTTTTTCTATATTTATATAAAAAAAATTACTATTTAAATTTAAAAAATTTTTATATGCATTAATTTATATACAAAATATCGTTAAACTTTATTTTCCCCAATATAATTCAAAGAAAATTGAATAATTTAGTATAAAATTACAATAAATTAAATTCGATGAATTACGGCATCTTAGTTTCATTGAATATTTAAAAATAATTTAATATTTTATGTTTGAACCAATCGTTGAAATAATCATAATATCTAATAAAACATTCGATCATTAAACACATATACGTATAATTATTAAACATAATGTATTTAAGTGTACAAGATATGACATTTAAATAGGTAAGCCCATGTCATTACATCATCTATTTTAAATTTTGCCAAAGCTGAGAGAGTTCACGATTGCTGCGACAATTTACAATTCTTTGCATTAGTAGGCACCTGTAGATGCTTGTGTTTTTATTTCCTGAGTAAGCACATTCCACCCTTTTCATAACGAATAAATGCGTGCATAAGATGTTTAAGAATAATTTTCAATGATAATTAAGAAATATTAATTACATTGAGAAATAAAATTTACCATTAAATATGATGATCATTAGATACGAATCAGTTAGTTTGTCACTGATATTATTGTAGTTTACGAATTAATAATTAATTAGGAATTAACACAATTTTAAAACAACTACAAATATAACTGTGACGGAAATAGTTTATTAAAAATAAGATAAATTTCACTAAAGTAATAAAAATAATAAAATACCGTATTTGTATGTGCCGTAGTTCCCGTATCGTTGAACTTCATAAACTAATATTGCGTTACATATTGTGCTAGAAATTGTGTATGTGTATATCGAGAAATTAATGATATTGTTTAATAATATTAGAATTTAGGCTTTAATGTTGTATCGTGTGACGCTTAGAAAGCCTTTAGGAAGTATTGCCTCCGGTGTCATAAAATGTTATGAAAATCAAGGGAACGAATAATATCCCGATCGTCTTCTAGTTTATTGCCGAGCGACGACGGGCAGAGGAAATTCGGCGCTTGGGCGCATGCGCGTTCGATCCCGTTCAATGAAACAGGTGACCCGGTTCAACTCCACATGTCTCCAGCCCCGTGGATGGACCCCGGCATATAGGCCGTCGAGACCCGTTTACTTTCATCCTCCTTTGGTAGATCGACGATTATTCGATTTAACCGAGCCTTACTTCGAATGCCGGAGCGAGTCATCGGATGGAGGTGTTCAGTGAAATCTTGGGCGGAATTTTTGTAATGTTCGGCTATCGCAGGACCGATGAGACATTTCGCGACAATTCTGCTTTATGGGTCAAGGAATGCTTTGTGCTGCTTGTGGCGTATTTCAAAAGCAATCGTGTCATTTTGTAATAGCGGATGAATTAAATTACGCGTGCCAGTTTTGCATGGATTTGTTTGGTTTTTCGAACGGGACGTTATGCGACAGTTGCTAAAATTTTTTAATGTGTCGATGAATATTTTTTGTGGCTGTAACGGAATATTTTTACCCACCAGTCAATCTTATTGCAATAAAGGAATGTTACATTCGGAGCATATTTTGGATAGTTTTCTCCCTCGTTCGCAATGCCATAACAAATTTGTTTACACATTTTATGACAAATAAACGTCGGCGATTAGCTTATGATGTATATCGCTCGTTCTTTACTTTATTTGATAAATTTTTGATAATCAACAATTTCATTAATTTTTCCAACTCCAACTATTTAATTCTTTTTATGGTTTTCTTTTATAATTCTTAATTCTAATCATCGTTAATGTTTTGACCTCTATAACAAATAATTTAGTAGAGAAAGTTGAAAATATATCCCACATGAAATTTTATGAGGATATTTATTTAATTTTTAGATATTTCTAATATTCTTGAATTTTTTTTTTTGTTTTTTTTTTATTTTTTATTTTTTATTTTGGACGTGTACATGTAGCTATTAATACATAAAGACTTTGCAAATTCGACAATTTAAATAGTTACTTCATTTTCTTCCTTAATTTGTATTGTTTATAAAAGCAATTTACGAAAAGAAATTGTACGTATATATCTCTGCGTGTTTGTGTGCGCGTGCGTGAGCGTGTAGGTGTATTTGCGCGTGTGCGCGAGTATTTTTATTTTTCTCTTTGCACGTGAATGTTTCTCTAGATGTGTTACGTACAGAAGTATTCCAAAAAAAAAAAAGATTCAAGAGTACAAATCGAATTTTTAAAGGACTTTGCATATCTTTATATTCAAAATAACTGTTTATTACTTTTAACTCATCTATTAGTTTTAAGCGTCATGTTGATGTCTTCGTGTCTAATGGTTAAACATGTATTACTTTTATCTAATATAAAACCATAATACTTTTAATTTACTAATTTTTGACACGTACGAAATGCCATTTAGAGAGTAAATTCATGCCCGAGAGAAGGTATTTATAGCGTGTAAATATTCGCTGTGTACTTCTTTACTCACTCTTGAGTTTTTTCGTCGTAACACTTTTATGAAAGATTTTTCATTTTTTTTTTTTTTTTTTTTTTTTTTTTTTTTTTTTTTTTTTTTTTTTTTTTTTGATGAATAAATATCTACCGATTATTGTTAAAGATGACAGTTTTCAACTTTTTTTTTATTTATTTATTTATTTATTTATTTATTTATTATTTATTTATTTTTTTTTTTTGTTATATGTATACGGAACTTGTATTGTTGTATTGTAGTATTCTCGAGTTAAAATAATCTTTAATAAGAGAAATAGAATAAATTGTCTTACCTTTATTTGTTTCCAAGATCTCATTGTAATTACTAACGACATGACCAATTATACTCGCCATTTTTTGAAATTTGTTAAATAGAGTATAAAGAATACTGTCACTGAAAGTTAAATGGTTCATTTATTAATCATTTCATAAAGAAATTAAAATGCAGAATATATTTGGTTGAATTACATTTGGTTGGTAAATATATCTACTAAATAATAGAAGAAACAATCCAATGCGTACAACTCATTTATGTTTAAAAAAAAAAAATAAATAAATAGTTTATGAAGTATTATTTAACATAAAACCTTAATACTTATAGCGTCATAACGTATTCCCTACTAAATGTAATTCATGAACAAATACATTTAAGCTTATGTATATTGTAGTAAAAAAAATGCATTTATAGTATGCTATGTAAAATAATTAGAAATTTTTTTTTACTAATATAAATAGCTTTTGCTTTATCATTTTATTAAGTGCACGTAAAAAGTTTTGATAAAAATATTTAAAAATCGATATAACGAGTACAAATTATGCAAATTAAAAAAAAAACACATTGTGCCTAATTTCATTTGTATATATATTTTTATTAAAATATTCTGATAAAATATATATTTAAATATTTTAAATAAACAATACTTCCAACTTTTTGCCGACTAGTTATAATAAATTTATTATTATTATAAAAAGATTATTATTATTATAAAAAGAAGAACAAAATATAATATTTTTTCAGAAAATATTCATTTAGAACTTTAATTTCAATAAGTCAACAAGTAAAACGGAAACTTTTCATTTACCTTTTTCTATGAGTAAAGACAAATTATAATTTATTGAAATTTATTTAAAAATTTATTTATTTAAGAGTATTCCTTTCGAATGACTATGCGTGCCAATCTTTATACAATATAACAAATTATAAATTTACAAAATTTGTTAGAAGTTCTGAATTCTGTTACAAGTTCAGAAAATACGAAAATTTCAATAAATTATTTATGATAAACACAACTATTATTTCCGATACTTCGATAAAGTAAATATATGTCAGCTGTTCAATAAAAAATAAAATTTATGTATAAATTTTCTAAATACACAATCGATAAAAATCAATCAAGTCATGGAGATTAATGCAGATACTCTACTTTCTACTCATATTAATGGCCTGATTTAATGACAGAAAATTCTTCATAATTATTTTTATTATACGAAATCATAAAAACTTTAATGACAAGTTATGGCAACTTTTAATTTAAGATTTTTTGTTTTTTTTTTGTATTTTTTAAATATAGAATACTTCATGTCCAATCATTTTTATCCTAAAAACATTCAAAAATTTATTAATTTATTATTAGATGTTAATTAATTGTCTCACTCGCTGTTCTAATGCTCTAATGCTAGAGTTCAAATGATTGTGTGCAGCGTGGCTGGGCGTATGTAATTTTCATATGACCAAGCGGAGCTTTAATAAAATTAACAAAATCCTAATTACATTTAGAATTATAAATAGAATTCTATAATAATGACGAAAGAAGTTTCATAAATATCTCGGATTATTCAGCAAACAGTTTGGATATCGCGTATTTCATCAAACAAATCGTAATGAAATCGTGTGAAATCGAAACGAACGAATTTCAATACAACCAGGCAAGAAAAAAGAAACAAAAAACAAAATAATATATAAATAAATAGTAAAGAAGCAAAGGGACTAATGAATGTAAATTAAATTTTGTGTGTGTGCGTGCGTGTGCGTGTGCGCGGGCGCGCGCGCGCGTGTGTGTAATAAAGATCGTAAGGAATTGCATTTGCAGTACCTGATGTATCGGCAAGAAAGCCGAGTAGCAACCGGCGTCCAGCCTGCTATCGGCCAATACAAAATCCTTTGGTGTGGAGATGGGTGAAGCTGCTGCACCGCAAGTGAATGGAAGAACCAAGTGCGTATCAAAAACTGACGGTTTTAAGAGATACCGGTCGGAACGCCGAAGACATACCAGCGACTTTTAATGGGAGGGGGTAGAGCCGTGGATGAGTGACCCCCACCACCTCCGTTCGCTTTTACGGGAAGTTAAATATTACTTGCTACCACATATTGTTGGTAATTTCAATTGCTCCAAGCTCGGATTATTTATTTAGGGATTAATACGGATTAATATGTGATATTTTCGGATATCGACAATCATAATATCACATTTTCGTGCATTAGATATTGCGTTAGAATGGAAGAATCACAATTACCGATAAGCTCGGTTAAAAAAAAAAAAAATAATAATAATGAAAATATGTGAATTGAATCTTGTCAATCTGGTAAATAATAAGTATTAAAGCCATACGCATTAGTTAATAGATTTATACACTATGGACTATATGATTGATAAATATAAAACAAAAGTTTCAATTTTTATAATCAATTCTTCTGATTAGAACATTGAAATAGGAAAAAATTAATTGACTTTTTGACCATTTGACTTAATGTTCATAAACATCAATTAATAGCAATTACTTACACCATCAAAGTTTTATATTAAAATTTTTGTTATTCAGGTTCTACTTTACTCCGAGAATTCATAATTATTTCTTCATCATAAAATTAACGATAAAATCAGCAGTAAAAAATCATCAATAACTAATCCTTAAAAATCGACTATTCCGTATAAATGATTTCAATTGAAACTGAAATATTATAGAGTTTTTCAATAATAATGAAAGCATGTCCATTACATTCCAAATTTACATACATATGCACCATTCGATTTACATTCCGAATTAATTTGTTTTTAAAACAAATTTTACCAAATTCTCAAATTCAGCAGAAAAACAAACCATATAGCATACTATTTAGTATTTAAATACTCATACACTTTGGGTAAGATTTAATCATTAACATCAAGTTCCGAGAAGTTGCATAAATATCCATATAATTGTAGAATAGTGCACAATTGAAGATTATATGCTGATATTATTAATATAATTTATAGAAAACAAATGTTTCCTTTAATTAATATTCTTTTCTTCAGTTTGCCGTTTTTTTTTTTTTTTTTTTTTTTTTTTTTTTTTTTTTAGTCGGATTAGATTAAATTAGAATAGAATGCAAAGATATAGTACAAAAAAGAATTCGTTTATTTTTTATTTTTTATTATCTCACAAGGTAAATAGTTGTAATAATCAACATTGTTAAATTAAAAGTTGATAGATAGTATTTAAAAAATATGTTAAATTTATAATTATACAATTAAAATCAACCATCTAAAACTAATAATGCAATGTCTATAATAATGTATATGCTTACACACGTACAATAAAGTGATACACATATATAAATACATTCATATATGGTACAGAGCGTCAAACATTTAATATTCGAGGACTCATTGCTGTTTGCATGATTAGTCATGCAAAACATCAAGGAACGAATGCCAAATTAGAAGAGAGAATAAAATGCTGCGTGCAAGGATTGTGAACATTGCTGTAGTTTATCCTAGCCACCTATTATTATTATTACATCAGTCATCAGGTACAGTATTCGCTTGGTGAAATTTCCTTCTCGAATATAATTCCTTCGGTAAACTGATGCCATTGTATCGACTACTCGGGAGGTGCAGATATGAATCCGGTCCAGCTTATTTGAGAAGAAAGCCAATAGAGTTTTTTGAGCTGTCACAGTATTATCTTACAATGTATTCAGAATGCATTTTTTTTCGGTGCACTATAAGATGTTTATATATGCGCCAACATAAAAAAAATCGATTGATATGAATAAAGATAATGAAATAGATTAAAATGGGGTATGTAATAAGTAATATTTATTATTAAGGTCATTGAAAATATGATATTGTAAATTTTTGTTACTATCGTACAGTTTCATCGAATACATCTAGAGATATAATTATTCAAATAATAAATGTTCAATATACATATTATATTTTTAGAAATTACTAATAAAATTATCAATTAATAATCAATTAGTAGCTGTTTTTACTATTAAATATGACTGAAAATTAATACATAACTCTTTGTTAATATCTTCTCTATCAATTTCATTAATAATAATAGTTTTCCAATCTTTTCAATTTTTCGGTTAATTGTAAATGTGAAATTTACAAATTTTATTTATTTAGATGTAAAATATTCTTGTTAAAATATATTCATCAGTGACACTACTATTGAATATTTATCTAACATTTCAACAATATTTTATATTCACATAAATTAGTAACGATTGATTACATTATATATTTGTTTCGGCAGTCATGTCAATTGGTAAGTTAATTTTTTTTTTTTTTTTTTTTTTTTTTTTTTTTTTTTTCTTTTTTTGTTGCAAAAATATACTAATCTTTTATATTTTATATTATAATTTTAATTTTGATTTTTCCATATTAACGTATGTTTATAATTTTTTGCTTGATTACTTGACATCACAAGCTTCATGCAGTTAAATAAATTCGTTGAAAATATCTCTTCTAACCTTGGGTATTTCCAATAAAAAAAGCTACATAATTAATAAAGCGCTAGAATCAATCGAAATGAATAGTGAAATGTCGGAATAAGGTTTATAGTTTGCTCATTGAAATTCAAATTGCCATCCAGCATCACAACCATTTCGGCATTAAATACAAATAGTAAGTAGGGTAGAACGAGATACAACTTGTTATTTTATTAACGGCAAAGCTTAAGATTTTAAATCATAATAATTTTCGTATATTTTAGTAATTCATACTCTTAATTAACAAAAAATTTCATTTCAATGTAAGAAATATTCAAATTTAAAGCTGTCGAAAATAAAAAATTATCTGTGTGAAACATTTGTAATATTTTCAGGCTGATTGATATTCTTCCATTAACGGAGGTCAAATTTAAAATAATACTTGTGTTACGTTCGGTTCGGGTTCATCTCCTGTTCACGTAAAAACCCAAGCGAATAGTCGCACCGAGTATTATTTAGGAACCGAGAATAAAAAGACAATTATTGTAGTTAATATCCTATTATTATAATTTTTATCCTATTACATAATTTGTAATTATACAATTGTTTTCATACACGCTGCATGGAATCTCTTCTGCGCCCTTTTATAATCATCTTATTCCTTTCTTTGAATAGTTATTCTTGCATTTAATTTTAAATTTGAAACTTCGTATATTTATAATATTTATAATTATAAAGTGAAATTCTGCTGTCGTCGTTATTTGAAATAGTATTTATTTGATAATGATAATTTTTACTTCTTAAATTAACGGGAGAAGGTTTGTTTTTATTTGCTTCTTATATTCATCTCTACTATATATTTCATATTATATAAAAAAAAAAAACAATGTCCAATATTCATTTTAAATTTAAAAATTAAATACACCGCTTAACTATAAATGTTAAAATAAAATTTTACTCGAATATTATGATTGCAAATGTGTATATTTGAGTTTAACATCATCCACCTTGAATCAGTGACATTTGAAAATTGTTAATGTAATAAGACTCTACGATAGATACTCAATATTTCTTTGTATTAGCTGCTAAATAAAATCGAATTGAGAAATTGAGAAATACCAGTATAATCCATTTTTAATTTTCAGATAATAGTTATGCATTTAAATATAATTACGGATTTTAATATTAATAAAGTTAATACTACTTTAATATCAATAAACTATTTAATAATATGAATGCTTCTTATAAAACAATATATAATCAATAAAGAGAATAAATATTAAGTGCTTACTCGCACTTAAGATTTTAATTTGATATTAGCATTATGTCAATTATGAGATTTTTAACATTTTTAGCAAAATTTAACGATCAGTTCGTGAAAACTATTCGTTAATTATATATCGCGAAAATTATATAAAATACGTGAAATACTTTTTTTCAATAAAAAAAATTCAATTTTTTATATATGCACAGAAATACTTTTTATTTACCGTATGGTATATGAAAGATATAGTAATTAAAATTAGTCTTCAATACAATTGGTATTTATAAAATTTAAAATATTTAAATATAAATCGAATATTTTGAATATAAATAATATTGTTCCACAATAATTTAACCAGTAAGTTCATAAAAATCATCAAATTTACATTTACTTTTAATAAACGTAAAAATGGAATTTCAAATAAATTTTAATTCTCATTAAATAATATTCTGCATAAACCCTCTTTAATTATTTGAGTATTAATTATTGTATGTTCAAAAAAAAACTATTTATAAAATTCATTAAAGCTGTAAAAATTTTAATAACAGTTTTACAATTGGTTATACTAATTTGTTATTATAATACGAAAATTTTAATATTTCCATTTTTATGTCATAATATAAAAAATATATTAATATTAACGCAAGATTAAAATTAAAATGTTAAATTATTGTTTACAATAAATACGTACATAACAATTAGTATTAAAGTTATTTCTCAATCCTCGAATACATCTTTTATAATTAATTTATAAAGATAGATAGTCTTAGTAAGCATACAATGTTAATTAATATTAATTATAAATAAGAGGAAGATTTAATATAAAGCAAAGAATCTAAAGAATCTAATATTACTTAGTAGAAAATTGTAGTTAAACTTTTATGCGTATAAGGTATTTAATTTAAAATATTTAAGTTTCAATATAAAATATTTAACTTTCAATTGTGCATACTATTATGCCTCATATTTAAGAAAGACTATTCGGGATTAAAATTTGTATTTACAAAATCAATCGCCATGATAATTGAAACGATGGCTTTCATACGTATTGGATTATACATAATAATGAAGAAATCCGATGGCATAATATCTAAAATCAGAGAAATATTAAAATATAATTATCATTTAAATTAATGCATCGGATGCATGAAGAATTAATAATATCGAAATTATGGATTTGATTTTATTTGAGAATGAATTTGATGCTTATAAAATAGAATTGTAGGTATAATTGTATATGTTGTAAAAAAAAAAAAAAAAAAAAATAAACAA